ACCAATCAGGTGTTAGATAACCGCCCCCTAACTTTGATGGGTGAGTTTGACAGATTCTTTTAATGGTTTCGATGCACTGCGACACAGGACCATGAAATAATTAAATGCACACTGAAATAATTACATAAATTTTTTTAATAAAATGAAGACGTATTTTATTAAATGAATGACACATTTATATATTTAATTCCTTTTTTATTTAACGAATTACACATTTAATAAATTGTTTATCGCTGTATTTATTTATTTCATTGTGGCACTTTATATTAGTGACGTGGTTTTAATTAATGAATGACACATTTATTTATTTATTTCCACATTTAATTAATTATTGACACATTTAATTATTTATTTAATGCTGTATTTATTTATTTGAAACATTTTACTGTCACTCTTAAATAACAAGAGGCTGTAATAATGCTGTGTTTTCTACTTGTACATGTGCGGTGCTGTAAGCATGTGTTGTGTGCTTTACACGCTGCCCTAAAAATCGGTCAGAACAACAACAAAAGCCGTATGAAGTTTAGAAGCTCAGATATGTCCGCGCAGAACGCATGTCCCTCAAGCACAACTGAGCCTTAAGATGCACCCGAGTGAAACCTTTTGTCATCAAAAGCAGTTGAAAGAGAGGAAGACATCATGAAAAACAAGCATGCAAACATAATATATTGAGCTACTTTAAATTCCGGTGATTAAGTTTCATCACGTAATAATTAGATTTGTCTACAGTGGAAAACCTAATGGGTTTATTTCCACCTGGCTGAACTTCATGCATCCTAACATGATGCAACACGGTAAAGTCTAAATTCAACTCTGTTAGTGGATTGAAATAATCAGAGAGGAAATACCTGAGCGGACAGGGGAAATGGAGGTGACCTGTGCCTTCAGTACGTTAGCGTTAGCCATCTTCAGGAGTCCAAGACACACATGCTTGTTGCCTCCTTCCACCGCCCACAGGTTGTTCTGGGCACCAGCCAGAGAAACGGCGCCTGAAACACACACAGAGAGGAAATTAAGCCAAAAGCTATAAACCAATTATCAGCTGCCTACACGCTTTCCTGTTCCTCTGCTCCCCAAGGCCACCTCCTCCTCTACTCGTCTTCCACCTTCTACTTTCCCTCCCCTCTGAGCTGACCTATATCAGCAGAGATGGAGCCGCTTCAGTCATATTGATTTCTAAATTCACCACCGGTTTCTGCCCTGCTCATCACCCCCCCTCCCCCTTCTTGTTTCACACTGAGCTGACCTACAAAGGCAGGGATGCTGACATTCTGTCCGTAGTTGACCCTCATGATGGGAGCGATGACTTCATCGATGAAACGCTGCGACACGCCCAGCTCCAGCAGCGAATCGGAGAGCGGCCTTCTGGTCATGTTGATGAAGCCGCTGCCTCCCAGAGAGTCCAGGAGTTCCTCCACGGAGCTGAAGGTGTAGCCGTGAGCCTGGTATTTATAAATCCTATACAGGACACAGATTACAGCCAAGTAAAAATCAGCAGACAGTTTGGGAATATATGTTAGCACTTTTCATTGATGTTTAAAATATTGGTATAAATCATTATTTGCAGAGCAAAATGGATGGAAAGCTCAGAGTAAATTTGGAGAGAAATGAGAAATGGAGAGATAAAATACTTCCTGCAGGAGGAAACCGATTCACTGTGAGGTTAGGTACCGTATTTTCGCGACTATAAGGCGCATATAAAAGTCTTTTTTTCCCCCTCAAAATGTGCAGCGCGCCCTATGTGTGTTGTTAGTACGGACGTTGTTGAGACCGCCATGAGAATGTTAAAGGGGGAAGTGTGGGCGTGGACTGTGTATAAAAGAATTGCTGTTATTCCGGGAGGTCTGACAAAAGAACTTCAACCGCTCGACATCGGTGTGAAGCGGCCGTTCAAAGTAAGGCTGCAGGCGGCGTGGGAGCGATGGATGAACGACGGAGAACACAGTTTCAGGATAAGTGGAAGGCAGCGGCGAGCAAGTTACGCCACAGTTTTTGGATGGATTGTTGATGCTTGGGCTAACGTGTCTGCTGGCACTGTTGTTCAAGCTTTCGCAAAAGCCGGCATCATTTCCGAGGAGCCGCATGGCACGGAAAGTGACTCTGACAGCAAAGAAGGGGAAATTGGCATGTCTGATTTAGCGCAGCTGTTTAATTCAGAAACAGAGGATGATGAGTTTGATGGGTTTGATTAATACTTTGTAATAAA